CAATAAGTTTCTAATGTCATATTCTTGAGTGCAATCCACTTCTTAGGGGGAAGGGATATAGTGATGAGGAAAATGAAAGCAACAAAGACACCACAGAAAATCACACCAAAGTGTAAGCAGACAGAGGTGACCAGAACTATCGTATTTATTATAAAGATACACCGTGAAGAACAAACCCGACTGTATACTGAAGCCTGTAATGGTACATGCCAAAATGTACAGTACTATACATAAAAGTGCATTGTCACGACAGGTTAACAAAACATTTTTTTTCCAGAACTGTAAAGCCATCCCCCTTTATCTTTGCCTCAGAGAGGAGGGATGAAATGGTCAGAGGCAGTCTAGAGCATGGGGAACACAATGGCAGTCAGCAGTGCCTAGTGGGGTGTGGATGGGTATGAGATGGGAGGATGGGGTTGGGGGGAGGCACTGCTGGGAGAGAAAGGCACAGTCACGTCTACGAGGAAAATGAGACAGTCTGATGATTGAGACTAGAATGCAAGACACACAAGACTGAGCACCAAAGCCCAGATAGGTGGGGACGGAGAAGAGGCGGGGAGAGGGCGAAGAAGTTCCAAAACACGCAGGTGGGCAACAGGAATGAGGGAAAAGAGGACGTGGGTGGGGCACAGATTGGGTAACAGTACAAGAGCAATACTACACTCCTCTAAAATAGAAAGGCACTTTCACATGTACATACTACAGATGTACATTGACACAATTAGGTAACAGTCACAAGCGGGAAGCTACCAGTACTGCAATTGATCAAATGACAGGAAAGGACAATACTGATTTAATTACGTGGGCAAGGAGTCACCCTTAGGTACGCAGGTAAATAGCAGTCTCTCCTGTTACACAGTCACTTACTCTACTTTAAATATCTATAATAGCCATCACACTACACATTGAACTTGCATGAGTGCTCTAAGGTGGGCATTCACATATGCACGGTTTATATAGTTTTCTTTTACTAAACAGTTTCTAAGATAAGCATTATGGAACCCAAGACAATTATTTAAACATACAAAAATCCCTACGTAATTTAAAGATACAGGTACCCATCTTGATTATACCACATAGACTATTGTATTTTTCCAGGAAGTATATTAGGGTAAGTGAAAGCTCAAATTCAGGCTTGTTTTTATCTATTTGTGTCAAAGTCACCCCACATGAAACCCTTAATGCTCCAGCCCAGCTGGAGCTTGGGGTGTTGACCCAGGGGTGGCTTGGAGTAGGGGGTTCTATTTACATGTGGATAGAGCCTTCAATGCTAAGCTGCTTTGTGTCCCAGTGTCTCTGTGGTGAACTGAAAGCAAGATGAAGTCCCAAATGCATCTTCTGCATAACTGGCGTCTTACTGCTGTGGTCAGGAATATGTATCAGCCCAAATAACACGTCTTCTAATGCCCCTTAATAGTCTCATAGGCTACCCCCCACCTTTGGTGGTACTACGGTTTGAATTCACGATCTCCTACTTGTACCATAAACCCAGAACTTTTAGCTTTAGTTTGCTTTTAGATCAGTCTCATGCTTTTTGCCACTACTTCTACTCTCCAGAGTAGGTGGGATTGAACTACCATGCCTGGTCCAAACCATAGGCTTTATAACTTTAGATTTCAGAGAGACTCTAATGAATAGATTATGGTTTCTTCGACTCATAGATTTGAGAAGCTATGTTATTTCTAAATGCTAAGGATAGCACTACCAACCTATCATTTCTTTTTCTTTCTTTTTCCTTTTTTTTTTTTTGTTGGTCATGGGGCTTGAACTCTGGGCCTGGGCGCTGTCCCTTAGTTCTTCAGCTCAAGGATAGTGCTCTACCACTTGAGCAACAGTGCCACTTCCGGTTTTCTGGTGGTCTATTGGAGATAAGAATTTCCCTTACTTTCCTGCTGGCTTTGAAACATGATCCTCAGATCTCAGCCTCCTGAGCAGCTAGGATTACAGGCGTGCCCAGCACTTCTTTCTTATAATTAGATTATAAATCAATTTTAGGAATGGAAAAAAAATACACAGAAAACTCCTGAAGGACACAATTTGACCCTTGGAACTCTATATTCATCGATACTTGTTTATTCTCAGTGTGGTAGGTTAAGTGGGACTTTGGTAAATTACTCTCTGGAAGTCTCCAGGGGCATTAAAAGTTTCTCCAAAACATGTAAAGCTGTGGAAGAGTGGTGTTGACACTGAAGACCATGGTGCTCTAAAAAGTGCCACCTATAACTCCCTTGTATAACTAAAGATAATAAAAAGATAACTTAAAAAAAGTGCCACTTAGCAGTTGGAAAGAGTTTATAAAACACTCCAGGAAACATGCATTAAGTACCTTACTCTCTGCCCTAACAATCTACTCCTCAAGCCCCCCAATCCAAACCAAAAGCTGATCTGGTACTCTATGTCAGTGACAGGTGCGAACATACAGTTCCATTAGCTATAAACACATATGCCAATGTAGGGGGAGTTGGGCAATCTTTCTAGAACCATAGTTTACCATCATTAAAATGATTCTCTCCCTAAACCACCAAGAACACTGCAAAGACCCTTGAACCAGGAAGGAGTAACATCTCCAGAGCTCATTCTTCTTCCTCACTCTCTTCCTTGTGCCTTTCCTCTTCTTGCTGTACTTGTGGTCCTAAGAAAGGTCATGTGCCAGAAGAACCTGTGTAGCTGCTGCTGGCAGCTTGGAACAAGCTTCACAGGATATCTAGATCATTGATGGAGTGTCCATCTTACCTCTGTAAATTCACTAGATGATTGCTAAACAATGGAAGAATAGGTGAGGATTCACTTGAAGGTCACAGCCTCCATGTACAATTGAGAGGGGAAAAATGCTTGGAGGTAAAAATACTATAGGAAGAAATGATGGAGACAGGTAGATAGGGAACAAAGGAAATCCAGTAGGAGTTGTGTCCTGAAAGAAGACACAGCCGTGGAAGCTCCAAGGATCTTCAGCAGCATGTTCTCCATCATCCAAAGGTAGCAGAGTCCTGATGTAAGGGGCAGAGAGGCATAGATGGACATACCAAAGGGAAGAAACCCTGAGGAGGATTGCCAGAGAGATGTCTGATGGAATAAGCTTGAGAAAGTAAGATCCAAAAAAGCGAACATGAAAGCAGGTGAAGTCATTTAAAAACAAATTCAAAACACCTTTGTCTTTCTTGCGCCTTCTCTTAATATCCGATGTTCCCATGAAAGAGGAATCCTCATTATTGTTATTATTTTAACCACCTGGGGGATTATTTAGGAAAGTTTCAACTTCCACAGAACCTTGGAGAGGCTTGTTTAAAAGGTTCAGTGCTATTGAAAACTCAGTCCTGGTGGAGTCTCCGTGACCACTATTTCAAAATGCGCAACAAGAATGGTTCTGAAAACTTTACCATACCTGGACATCCTTGGGGGAGGGGGGAAGGGGACGGAGAGAATCCAAACCACCATTCAATCCATTTTTCAAATTAGGCTGACCAAGAACCAGAGGAAATATTATTTCATTAATCTCTTTGTTCAATAGAATGTCTAGGCTGGAAAACTGAGGTAGAGATCAAAGTAATAATCTTGATTTTAGCATAAATTCGGATTCTTTTCTGCGTGATGCATTCACCAATGGGCTGCTGAATTAAAGCCCACAGGGCACCAACTTTTAGGTAGGCTGCCAGTTTAAACCTAGAAGGTAATCCACGGTGGTCAAAGGGATTTGTGCTGAGGCATCCATTTTTCTTCATGGGGAAGTTCAGTGACAGTGCAGCTGAAATGATCATAGATGTGCAGATATCAGACACTGGTGATTTGTACCTTAGTGAAAATAACTGTATTCAGAATAATTTTTGGAGAGGTGGCTGTGTAGCTCAGTGGTAGAAAGTGTGCTTCACATACAGGAGGCCCTACTTTTAATCCCCAGCACCAAAATGAGACAAAAAACAAAACGAGACAAAAAATTCCACATTCTTTTAAGATTGAGAAGAAATAAATATGGCAAAAATATGGGCGAAAGAAAAACCAAACCTATCTATGTACTAAGAGGGTAAAAAAAAAAAAAAAAAAGAAGGTCCCTATCTGAGCTCAACTGACTAAATTAGAGACTTCAATCAAAGAAGAAAAAACAAGCAAACAACAAAACAGACAAAACAAGACCAGACACTAACACGAAATGAAAAAATCATGGTTCTGACGTGTGACACTGGGAGGGAATTCCTGGGACCATGAGGTAATCTTCCCATGATGGTCTGGCCTCCTCTTATTCAAGTACCATAGCCAGTATGGATTGGCTCAAAGAGAGAAAGGGAGAGAGGAGTTGGGATTTTAAATTTAGGATCATCAGGCCTTTGTGGCCTGAATGAAGCAAGATAATTTAGCTAGAGAAGAATATAGTGATTCTAGGATTCACATCCTGTTTGCTTTCTTTAGTGCCACAGAGGAGAGCCCAGGGATTTAGGAATATTGTGTTTTTGTCCCTAGGCAGTTATTGAAGAACAGATCATTATAGGAGTTTGCAAATGCAGTGGATGGGTTTGGAAACTTTTAGGACCTCATGGAGAGGGTAACATCAATAGCTTTGGAGACAGTGCCATTCTCTCCTTCCCCAAGTTCAGTTCAAGCAACAACTGTGAATTTCTAACCCCTCCCAACAGGTTTAACCTGGACCCAGGGAAATGACTGTTAGGGAGGAGGCCGTCTTTCAATCTATCCAAACCTTGGTCCCACTGGATCATCTCCTTGTGCCAATGGCAAGTCTAGCAGGAATTGGACCTTGGCTTGCGTGGGAGCAGGTACTCACTATCAGCTACCAAATGATGCAGGATCACCTTCCAGCTTGTTTCCCCATGTTACCAACCTGGAACTTGGATTCTCCTGCTTTTAGGAGACTCACTTGGACTACACTAAATATGGAGCAGTGCAGAATGCAGGGAGCAATGTTACCTTCATGACAAGTGGTGCAGCATTGGAGTTTTCAAGTAAGTCTAAGTGATTCTAATTGTCTTTAAAATGACATATGTCCAGTTACTTAAAAAAATTTACAAAATGCCTGTGTTAATTTTAACTAGTCTCAGACATTACATTCGACAACATAGAAAAGCCAAAAGATCTCCAGTTATCATAAGCACAGAACTAAGGAAAGTTACAGATCTTTGACTTTTGTCACTAATCCGTTTTCTCTTTTAAGCCACCTCCCCTAATGACCTTACAGGTTTTTTACATGGTGCAAGACTTGTCTGTTGGACCCTGTGAAGGTGGAGTAGGTCCTATGGTAGGGTTTGTTTTTGGAAGCACAGCTGGTTTCGGCCTAAGGGCTGGGGGCTTCAGCTGCACACCCATTCTGGGTGCCACCATTGGCTTGAAAGTACTCATGGTGTCACTGGAGGAGCTGGTGCTGCGTCGAATCTGAGGCTCTGAGCTCCTGAGGGCAACGCTGTGCAAAGGGCTGAGAGATTCCGTGGAACTGGCTGGGGTGGGAGAGTTTTTCACTTGTTCCAAGGTATCCAGCACCACATCGGGGGCATGTTTTGCCGTACTCTGTCTCTCTAGTTCACGGAGTTCATTCAAAGCAGTGTTCATTGTCTCTTCAATATCCTATTGGAAAATAATCAGAAAGAGAGTGGAGTGATAAGACCACTATATAGAAACCCATATATTTCATTTCAGAGCAGACAGGCCAACCAAGAGTATGAATATTTGAACTTAATAGTCTATAGAGGAGAAGATAAACATAATGCCAGCTCGTGCAATTAGCTTGACTCAAAATGTTCTGGAGCTCAAGATGCCATGGCTCATGGAACCATACATCAAATAGTGGTCATTCTAAGATACCAAGTCAACTTTTGGTAGTCTCTACGTGGCATGCTGACTTATTCATATAGGATTCTATTTCAACTTATAGTAAAGGCTAACTTAAATTCATATGCGGACGTGCTGGAGTGATAGTATCTGCCTGCAATTACAGTACAAGGTGGGAGCATTTGAGCTACAAGATGGCGGGGCTACATAGTGAGAACGTGTCTCAACAGGTCAAAATGAATATACAAATTAAACTAATTTTTAAAAATTAGAATAAATATATTTATTTGAATATCACATCCTAATAATAATATATTTATTCAAGGAATAACTATAAATAGGAATGAAAAATTAGGTTTCATCTACTCAACAAATAATTTTAGAGCACTAACTAGCCTTTGAAGGAGCCTTAGGAGTTCTCCAAAATTCTGCTCCCAGGGAAATGACTGTTATAGAAGAGGCAGTCATTCAATCAGTGAACACATGATGTGAATACACGATGTGAACACATTCATTCTCATGGGAAAATCTGAAGACTAGAGATGGAAAGATAAAGAAGAACAAAGCACATTTTGTGATGGTGATATCATTTTACCAGTGATTATTTTCATATGTGCCCCCAAAATATGAAAATTTCAAGAGAATTTGCCCCAGAATATGTAGAATTGGTTGAATTTTCTTTCTTTCTTCCTTTTTCCTTCCTTTCTTTCTTTCCTTCCTTCCTTCGTTCGTTCCTTCCTTCCTTCCTTTTTAAAATTTTGTGGTACTCATATTTAAACTCAGAGCCTTGTTTGTGTTTGCTAGGCAAATGCTCTACCACTGAGTCATGCCATTCCCAACCTTTTGGGTTTTATTAAGGTTATTTTTCAGATAGGGTCTTACAAATCTTTGCTTGGAGTTGGCCTTGTACCATGGTCCTTCTACTATATAACAGAGATGAAAGGTATGAGTCACCATACTGATTAGTTGAGATAAAGTCTTACTAACTTTTTGCCAGGCTAGTCTTGAATCATGATCCTCCCAATATCATCCTCTGGAGTAGCTAGGAGTACAGGAATACACTAACCATGCTTGGACCAAGTTTTAGCTTTTATGATTTATAAGAAAGGGATTTCCTTATATACAAGACAGAAAGGGAAAGGGAATCATAGAAACAGTGGGACAAAGAATGAACCAATATAACAGTGAGGGAGGGGATAACACTATTCAAAAAAAAATGTACTCGGGCTGGGAAGGTGGCTCAGTGGTAGACCACTAGCCTTGCATGCTCGAGGCCCTGGGTTCGATTCCTCAGCACCACATAAGAAAAAAGCCAGAAGTGGCGCTGTGGCTCAAGTGGTAGAGCACTAGCTTTGAGCTGAAGAGCTGAGGGACAGCGCCCAGGCCTAGAGTTCAGGCCCCACGACCGGACCCAAAAAAAAACCAAAACCAAAACCAAAAAAAAATGTACTCATGACCTTACTGATGTAACTGTAACATAGTCATCACCTTTACAACAAAATTTTAAAAAAATGTGAAGAAAGAAAAAGGGATTTCCTGATTCAAAAGGATTAAAAAAAAACCCTTCTTATTCCTTCCTACTCTGGAGCTCCTGAATCTCTTTTTCTTTAACCTAAATCAAGTTCCACCTGCTTATTATGAGCATATGATGTTATGGATTCCTCAAATCATTAAATTCACCTATAATCAAATATCACTGGCTCTAAATATGTCTCAAAGGGCTTTGCATAGCATTGTAAACAAAAAGAACTCAAAAGGTCAAAGGCCTTATTTATTTTTTAACTAAGGAATTGCACTTAAAATTCATTTATTTCTTAAAAAATGACACCAAACTCATCACAAAATTTAATTTACCCTAAAAAATTCTCTTTCATTAGAATACTCAAAATAGCTTGGGAAAATGTCATATCAGGACAGGTTTCTTTTGGTATTTTTTATTAAGAGGAATCAGTTTTAATATTTTCCTTAATTTCTCATTCATTTTCTTTTCTTTTCTTTTTTTTTTTTCTTCTGTTGGTCATAGGGTCCCTCAGATCTGCAGCCCAAGGCAAGCACTCTACCACTTGAACAACAGCACCACTTCTGGTTTTCTGGAGGTTAATTGGAGATAAGAGTCTCATGGACTTTCCTGCCCGGGCTGGCTTTGAACTGCAATCCTCAGATCTCGCCCTCCTGAGTATCTAGTATTACAGGGGTGAGCTACTGGTGCTGGTCTTCTCATTCATATTCTTTTTTGAGCTGTTTAGGTAGTTTTTAAGTTTCAGTGATAGCTGAAAAATGGAAATTTTTTTCTTTGTGTGTGTGTGTATGTGTATGTATGTGTGTGTGTGTGTGTGTGTGTGTGTGTGTGCTGGTATTTGAACTCAGGTCACTGTCCCTTAGCTTTTTTGTTCAAGACTGATCCTCTACCACTGGAACCACTCTATTCTTAGCTTTTTGGTAGAAATTGGAGATTAGAGTCTCACAAATTTTCCTGCCTGGCAGGCTTCAACTGCTACCCCATGATCTCAGCCTCCTGAGTAGTTAGGATTACAGGTGTGAGCCACCAGTGCCCGGCGTGAAGGATGCTTTTGATTACTCTATTGCCAAATCCTTAAATCTATATACCTTCTTTGTCACTATTTATAAATGTATTTTCTGATATCCTGTGCTATAAAAAAAGAAAAATCCAGGAGGCAAAATGGTAATTCATTCATAGTGTTGCACTTAATTTACTCTGTCTATTTATTTATTTTTTGGTCTGGTCATGGGGCCTGAACACTGGGCCTGGGCGCTGTCCCTCAGCTCTTCAGCTCAAGGCAAGTGCTCTACCACTAGAGCCACAGCGCCACTTCTGGCCTTTTCTGTTTATGTGGTTCTGAGAAGTTGAACCAAGGGCTTCATGCATGCTAGGCAAGCACTCTACCACTAATCCACCTTCCCAGCCCCTCTCTTCTTCTTTTCCCATATTTTCCTGGCTGTTTTCCAATGCCAGGTTTGAATTTCCTACCTGCTGTCTTCCTGTCATATTGCTGTTTAAATCAATACTGGTCTCTTCAGATGAGACAACCAGGCCTTAAAGAATTAGTTATTTTGGATTGGAGGCATTGCTCAAGTGGTAATGAACCCATGTAGCAAGTACACAACCCTGGGTTCAAAACCCCAGTCTCTCCGAAAAGAAATGAGCCATTTCTTTTCTGTCTGGTTAGGTTGATTATATTAAAAACACAGCTATGGAGCATAAATCTTCCATTTTTCTACCCTCATATCCAGGGATTTAAATGTAATATTCCAAGAAAAGCATTGTACCTGAGCAATTGACTCTGGGTCCAGCGGCTTGTGGTCACTGAAGCCTGAGTATTGTCCTGATGACGTGGACCTCCGGATGGGAGGGCTGTCGATCTTCTTGAGAGAGTCCTGCCGGCTGATGTTGGTCAGGCTGCCGTGGCCCGGCCGACGCCTCCTCTCAGGGCTATCATTGTTGAGGCCACGGTTCTGCAGCAGGCCTCGGGGGTGACTGGCTAGGTTTGGGGACCCCAGGTCAACTGAAGAGTTGGAAAGAGTATGCGGGGGATGAAGGGGACAATGGCCATCACTGGTCCTGCCAGGACGTCTCCCTGGAGGGGGTGGTTCTCCTCTTTTTCTTTGTCTAGACATCCATAGAAAGAGAAATAGGAGAGCTCATCACCCTGGGTAACAGTGCGAGGTTGAGGGGATGGTGGCTTCTCACGGTTCCTGGAAAAGAACAGGGCTAGGAGTCTGATTGGCAGACTTCACTTACCTGGCTAAATAACTATCAGAATGACGATCTGTTGGGGAGTTCATATCCTTAGATGAAGACTTGTCTTCAGTGACTGCCCCACTACTGGCCTCACTGTCTGCTTTTTGGCTCAGAGTGTCTGAAAATGTATCATCCCTAAAAAAAGGAGAATTGAGAGTCAGGGTTTGGATGAGCAGAGACAAAGGAAATAAGGGATGACATTTATGAATGTAAGTCTTTCATTAATGCAGCTTTGCATTATCAACACAATGCAATTTTGCTGAGAGCAATTGAAAAGGTCAGATATAAAAAAGGAGTGAAATAAGAATCACTTATAAGCTGGCCACTGGTGGCTCATCCCTGTAATCCTAGCTACACAGGAGGCTGAGATCTGAGGATTGTTTTCAAAGTCAGCCTGAGCAGGAAAATCTGTGAGACCCTTATCTCAAGTTAATCACCAGAAAACTAGCAGTGGCACTGTGGCTCAAGTGGTAGAGCGCTAGCCTTGAGCTGAAGAGCTGAGGGACAG